TCTTTTGCATAGTAATCTGCCATTCCTTTTCTATTTCTTATACCACTGTTCCAAAACTTTGGGATTGAACAGACCAAGTCTCAATTTGTTGTCTTAAATTTTTGGAGGCTATCTCAGGCTTACCAATGAATTGGATTTGTATAAATAATACTATGCCCTTAACCACAATGATCACCCCTTATATATCCTTCAACAATTTCCACAATTTTATCAACAATCCAAACCCCTAGTCATAAACCTCCCCTTAGATCTCCCTCCAATCTTTATCCAAATATCATAATATAAAAATCAACTTTTAACCCAGCAAATTCAAAATTAAATAGAACCGTGGCACAATTATTTCTTCTTCTCCAAAGAAGAAACATAAGGTTTATTTTTCCGTCTCACTCTCTCAGCTTCGAAATCAGCCTGTTATATTAAGAGTTCACTTGGGGAGTAAAGTTAGTTTTGCTTTTGAGGCAGACTGATAAGATAGGTTTGCCGCTGCTTTTCTTCTTTCAGCCAAATATTTTCATTCTTATTTTCAGTTTAATGGGGCTGTTTCAAAAATCAAAGGCTTCAGCTTACTTAGTTGTCACATATTTTAAGCTTATATTGGTTGTTCTCCTCTCCCCGATAAAGGGTTACTCATGGCTCCGTGCCAAATATGGCGCCCACTCCGACCCATGCTGGGTGATTTCTTCAGAGGGAAGAAGTCCAGGTTTGCATCCCTTTCTTCTCCTTCTGCTGCTCACCATCTGCTTCAGAGAGACTTCTCCTAGACTCTCTTTCGATCCCCATTTCAAAAAGGGGATCCCGGACCAGACGGTTCCAGTGTTTCCAGAGAGAGCTCTTCTCTGGAGCTACTGGCAGCACTGCAACAAAGCCCCGCCCCCTCACTAGGGTTGAAAGGGGTTGCATCCTGATTTAGATTAAGACCTATAGCAATAGTTTCAGAAAGGGAGATGTTCCCTGTACAAAGCCAAAATCTCCTTAGGAGATTATCAATGTGGGTCATGCCTGAAAAGTTTGTTGGCAAAAATGGACTATGTGGCAGTATGTATGGCTGCTGCCTCTGAGTGGCAATAGAAGTGAAGACAGGCCCATTAAGAGCAAGTGCTTTTAGCCAGTGGTAAAGGGAAGGGGTTAGTGGAGCAGAAGAGTGGTAGAAACGTCTCATAGACTTGAGAATGAATTGGGAATGTAGAAAGCATCCAACAGAGTCTAGTGTAGACTTTATGACATCAGAAAACATTGAATGCTGCTGGCATCTCTGCATAACATGTGCTATATTTTCCCCATACGATCATCTCCCTTTCTCTCCTTCTTCCATTGTTGAATAGTAAGCTCTGTTACAAGAAAACATTTTGAGTATCTATTTTTCTTGTTAATAATGCACATCCTCTGTATAATAAAGAAAGCCATGTTGGGTTGTAAACCCTTGGTAGTGTGCAATTCCAGATAATTATCCTGGTGTCTTTTGGAATAGCTGGGTAAGATGCTAGCACACGTTTCAAAGTGACTATCCCTCACCCCAAACAATTACTGGTTTCTTTTATCTTTATGGCCTATCTGTCCCTTTGAAGTGATAAAGTCTTCAGGTCCAGGGTTTTATCTTTTAAGGTGACACAGTTGGGGAATCTCTTCAGCATATGAAGTGAAACGTAAATTGGAAGGAAATAAACTCTTGTCACCAAACTGCAGGATCTTTGCGAATATTAGACGGGCTGAAATTAGCTATTTACAACAGTTCACTCTCAGCCTGACTGAACCCAGCACTCCCATGACTAACAAAATCCTCTTTCCTTAGAGTCTTTTTTATTATTATTATTATTATTATTATTATTATTATTATTATTATTATTATTATTATTATTATTATTATTATTATT